GGAAGGAGGGGGGAAGCGGTTTGGGTGGGGTGTATGCGGTTAGTGGCAGGGATGGTTTGGAGAATCTGGAAAATGGAGGTGTGACAATACGGGACTTATCGTCATGAAGCTTGGCAAAAGCCACCGCCTGAGGCATGTCGGTGGGTTGTAGAGCTGTAACCTCCCGACGGAGATGTGGTTTCAACCCAGAAATGAAGCAACTAAGGTAGAAACTAGCTGGGTAGCCGGAGATGCGATTGGCAATGGATTCGAACTCAATGATGTAATCTTGAAGTAATTGGGTCTGAGACAACTTACAGAGTGCAACAATGGGGTCTTCGAACTTGGAGGGGGCAAAACGGAGCTCTAAGGCACGAAGGAAGGCGTCCCAAAAGGTGAGGAGACCATTGTTGTGCATCCATTGGTACCATGCCAGTGCTGGTCCTTCAAGATAGAAGGAAGAGATTTGAGTGCGTTGCTCCGGAGGGGTTTGATGAAACTCGAAGAACTGGATAATTTTGAAGATCCAGCCCAGAGCATCATCCCCGTTGAAGGAGGGTAAGTCAAATTTTATGGGTCGAGGAGAGGTGTGGTTTGCAAATGGTGGTGGGGGAGATGGTTTGGATTCCAAAAGGGACGTGCGGGAAGCAATGTCATGTAAAGTGTTGGAAAAATTAGCCTGGGCAAGGAGGATTTGTTCAATTTTTTTGTCAAGTTTGGAAATGGCGTCAGAGGGGTCTGCCATGATGTGGGGACAACGAGAGCACCAATGAAAGGGGGTTTTCAGAAAGAAAGAGAAGAAAATCAGAAAAAGGGATATCAGAAAGAAAGATGTGACAGTTACGTAAAAATTCTCATTACCCTTTGTGCTTAATTCATGGTGCTATATATGCACCTTACGTACAATGCGACAAAAGAAAAAGGAATAAAAGTTTGTTAACCTTGTCCTGCATACAATAACCGAATTGCCCATTGAATAATATGCAGCCACTAATTCATTCAGTCACGTAGTCGTCTAGGTGAGGTGGTTTGTTATGGATCCTTTGGGGTCTTCCATAAGTAATAACTTCCTCCTGCACACTTAATGGGTCTGGTGAGTCATACTGGGAAATGGGCCTAACACAATTGGCAAATCAGTAAATTATTGATAGCCATGGTCTACTGTATTTGGCGATTAAACTAACAAAGTGGTCACGATAATAAGTAGAAAACAGCTAGAAATTTAGAAGATGAAACAAATAAAAAAGGTTAAAAGGTCCCTTACATTATTTAATATTTTTAATTTAGTCTCACTTTAATTTTTTGTCTCAATTTGGTCCCCAATAACTTAAATTGTTCCGATTTGGGACTTCCGTCCAAATGATTTAGACGAAGTTAACTGTTGGCCTCGTGGCATCTACGTGGATGCGCACGTAGACACCAAAATTTTTGAAAAAATCTGAAACCAGAACAGCCCGTTCTGAAACCAGAACGGGCCATTCTGATATTAGAACGGGTCGTTCTAGTTTTAGAATGGGCCGTTCTGGTTTTAGAACGGGTCATTCTGAATTGAGAACAGGTCGTTCTGAATTCAGAACGGCCGTTCCAGAACGCCATGCTTTTTTTATTATTTTTTTTATTATATCTATATTAATAAATATATAATAAATAAAAATATACAATAAATTAATATTCATTTATGAATAAAACTAAAAAAAAATTAAATAAGATAAGACCTTCCAAAATATTTCTTTGATTTGAATTTATCCAATTCAAAATCCTGACTAAAATGCCGCAATGTATTTCAAGAATTGAAAATAAAATTCAGGGTTTAGGGGTACCTCCTCAAGAACAGGTTGTTATTGTTGGGGTACATCGTCAATGACTTTAAGGAAAAACACTGTTTCGTTTTATCCTTGACTGTATAGTGTCAATTTGGTAGTAAGTGGTTCACTTCAATTTGACTAACAATGAAATAAAACTTGTTACCATTGTCCTTAGTGATACACTGCATCATCCTTAATAATATACTGTATAGTCCAAATGTTTAGCGATTGAAGTTATTAATCCTCATTAACAATATGACTAAATCTAGTGTTTGAAATGCTTTGTATTTTTCCTAAAAAAAATGCTTTGTATTTTGGTTTTTGTGGCACGAAATTCTGGACCAGAACAACCCGTTCTGAAACCAGAACGGTCCGTTCTCAAACTAGAACGGCCCGTTCTGGTTACACTGTTGATGTATTAATTTTGGACCTGGAACGGCCCGTTCCAGGTGAAAATTTTACACACCATTAATATAACCAAAACGGGCCGTTCTGGTTTCAGAACGGGTCGTTCTGGTTCCAGGTGTATTCAAGTATTTTTGGATCCACCTACGTGGCATCTATGTGGCATCCACCTGACATCCACCTGGCCACCAGTTAACTCCGTCTAAATCATTTAGACGGAAGTTCCAAATTGGAACGATTTAAATTATTGGGGACCAAATTGAGACCAAAAATTAAAGTGGGACTAAATTGAAAATATTAAATAATGTAAGAGACGAAAAGAAGTTTTTAACCAATAGAAAAAAACGTGGCATCATGGCTCTTACTCTCTTAATTAGGGGTGTTTGCGGTGTAGTTTGGTTTTGATCTTAAAAGTCATTTAAATTAAACAAGGGAATTAAGTGTTGTTTGGTTTTGGTCTTAAAAGTCATCTAAATTGAATAAGAAAATTAAGTATGATTTGATTTAAATAATTTATAAAATTTGATTTAAATTAAACTATTTTTCTGTGATTTAGTTTTGCAATTTTTAAAATTTATTATTTAGAAATAAGAAAGTGTAATATTATATTTTATGTGTAAGATCAAACGTTAAAATAAAAAATATATATATACAAGTATTAAAATATTTTGATTATTTAATATATTTAACATTGATTTATTTTATTATTTTAATAAAAACATCACTTTAATTATTTTAATATAATTTTAGTTAGTATATTAAATATTTTTTTCTTATATACATAGTTTATCATTTAAAAAAATGATTTTAAAAATCATAGATAATTTATAATTTTTCAATCTAAAATTTAGTTTAATAATTTTTAATTTTATAAAATATTTTTCAATTATTGTAATATATATCTAAAGAAAATCATTTTTTTTAGTGACTTATAATTTTATAAAACATGTTTTATATTATATGTTAGTTTCATATACATGTATTATGTATTTGAAATTTTTTTTTACAAATAAGTGCAATTTGGTTTGGCTCCGAACGATTTTACATTTCAATCATAAAATTGAATGAAATTATGTGATTTTAAATATTTAAAAATGAAATGAAATCACTAATTTGTAATTTTTTCTTACCGATTTTCATTTTTTAATTAATTTGTGATTTTTACTTGATTCAATTTTCAACATCCAACTCATACACAGAAGCAGAAGCCGTGTCACATTATTGTCATTTCATGATGCTGATAAGGTTTGAATTGTCTCTGAAAACAGGAATTTTGAGGTGTATGTTTATATTTGCAACACTCCAGAAATCATATGGTTTTACTCGGAAAAATGCCATCCCTGTTTATTACACAACAGCATGGGCAATGCCCAACGAAATCATGTGTACATGGTCTGTCCCCTGCACGTGTCATAAATCAAGTGTCTCGATTCATATGATCCACTTTTTAGCTTTCATGGACATTTAGTTGAGAACAAATCACAAGAATTTTCTTTAAAAATGTTGAAGACTTTCATAGAAAGTGCTTCAGTACAAAGGCATTTTTTTAACCATGTTAGTAAAAAAGCATCTTAATTAATAAGCCTATATTCTTTAATTTGTTTAGAATACAATGATTTTATTAGTGATTCATAATTTTTTAAAATTCGATTGATATATAAAAATTAAGTTATACTTCTTTTAGTTTGGATTATGTATAATTTTGGTCTCTGATTCTGAAATATTGAAATTTATGGTACGAATTTTGATGAAATAAAAAAAATAAACAATGATGGTGGCTTGTTGAGAAAATGTCTTGTGAACAGTGCCAAGTGCCAACAATGAGTCATTATGTATTCACAAAAATAAAAATAAAATCAAAATAAGTCATTTGGAATTTTGACGAAATAATAAATAATAAATTCAGCTATGCGTATTGGGTGCATCCTTCTTGAAAATACATGATATGAATTAAAGTAGAATATTGAATGAATTATTAACAATTGGTTCTATGGTGTAGTGGTTAGCACTCTGGACTTTGAATCCAGCGACCTGGGTTCGACTCCCGGTAGGACCTTTTTCTTTTTATTATTACCATAAACTTCTTTCATTACGATTTTTGGAATTTCTAATTTTACTTTTCCTTTGCTTTCAGGTTCTGTCGAGAGGGGTCCCTGACACCAATTCATGAAATGATGATGCACCTTTCAGCTGGAAACAAAAATAAAAGAAAATAAAAAGTTTTCCATTTTCCCAAAAAGTACTTTTACAAAGAACACTCTCCCATCCTTCAAGCCCAACAAAGGCGGAACAGAGAAAAAGCATCACTCTCTCTTCCTCACTCACTCTGCTCTCACCACCATCCTCAACTCCAAATCAACAACTAACAAATGAAAAATTATAAATACATTTTTTTAAGTTTAAATTCATAACTATATTAACAAAACAAAACAAAACAAAAAACACGTTCATACACTCAGCGTTAAATTTTAAAAATTATTTAATAAACTCAGAAATCTATTTAATAACTTTAAGATTAAATTATAGTTTTAATTTTAGTCCTTATATTTTAAAATAAAAATATTTAATTCTAATTTTAAAAATATAAAATTTTAATTTTTTATTAAATTAACATCCATTAATCGTTAAGTTTTAACAAACATTCTTACATAAATGATACATTAAGTATTTTAGTATTTAAAAATAAAAAATACTAAAAATTAAATAATATTCATTAATAAAATAAACATTCATTATAATAAATAGAATTTTAATTTTTTTAATATATCACGTCGTTAAATATCATATTATTTAAATGATAATACATTATTAAATAATATCAAAATTTAATAATTAATATATATATAATTGATAATAAGACCAAATTTTATATTTTTAAAAATAAAAATTATAAATATTTCTATTTTAAAATGAAGAAGTCAAACAAAATATAATTTAACTTAATTTTAAGTTAGTCTAATAGTTTCGTGAGGAGAGGAGAGGTTGGGATAGTTAAAAGTAGGGGCACTTAATTTCAATCCTCTCTGTATTTTTTTTTTTTGGTAAATTGGGAAATGAAAATGGGTGTTTACTTGCCCAACTAAGGTTCACTAGTGAAAGGCCCACAGACAGCTCCTAAAGGCAATCCCTGAAGGAATTTTGAAACGAGAAAAATGATGAAGAGAGAGGGAGGGACAGAAGAGAGCTTAAAAAACTGTTTCCTCCCGCGAAAAAGCAGTTCCCGAGAAATACAATATTGCGGTTGAGAAGTGTAAAGCCCACACTCCCTCGTGACCCCTCTTCCTTCCCTTCTTCTTTCTCTTCGCTCTCACCTTTCGCCATTCCCACGCCCAATGGTGAAGGAAACCGAGTTCTACGATATCCTCGGGATCACTCCCTCTGCCTCCCAAGACCAAATTCGCAAGGCCTATTACTACAAGGTTCTTCTTCTATTCTATTCAATTCAATTCAATTCAATTCAATGTTCCTTTCATTTTTCACTTTCTTTATTTCTGCTACAGGCAATGCAAGTTCATCCCGATAAAAACCCAAACGATCCTCACGCTGCACACAAGTTCCAGGTAACTCCACTACACTCCAATTAAGTTTGTTCACTTTTATAATTATTATATAAAAATTATAGGAATCGTGATTTCTGAATGTATTGAGTAATATATAATATATTTACCGAGAGTGCTATTAAACTCGTATAGTAATGATTATTTTAACTATGTAAAAATTTTATGGAGTAATTTCTAATCGATTGTCTTGAGGTTGATGAAAACTAGACTTACTTTTATTACTATTAGCGGCTCAAGGTTCTTTAATGTTTGGATATTGTTATGTATGATATTTTTGTATGCTGTGATTTGTGATGTTGGCAGATATTGGGTGAAGCTTACCAGGTTTTGAGCGATCCCGTGCAGAGGAATGCGTACAATCAAAATGGGAAGCATTCTGTATCTAGGTACATGTCATGATAATTTTCAGCTTAATTATCATTCGATGGGGGGACTTTGCTGTATTCGCTAACAATCTGGGTTGATTGTTTTGATCAGTTTGCTAGGAAAAAAAAGAAAAAAGTCGTAGTAGGCATGACTAGGAACAATAAGGACAACACTTAAGAACAGTACATGTAGTATTGTTGGTGCTTTTACACGATTAGAATTAGAATTTTACCTTATAATATACATAATACTAATTGAGAAATAGTACTATAACTAAGTATCGTACAAATAATAATAGATATTTGAGTCACACTTCTACTTGATTGATTAGAAACACATGCATCAACATGTTACGAGAGTGTAAATTTGCTTAGAGTTCAATCTGGTTAAGAAAGTGCAAATTCCTCAAAAATTAATCGGAAAGAGAGGGGAAAAAAAAAAAAAAAGACAACGGTCCAATGAATAAAAATCAAGAGATGATCTGTATATTACCCGTTTTGTGGGTGCATTTATCATAGGAGAATTTATTTCATGAGCACTTAGTTTAGAAGTTATTTTAATAAGCTTTTTAAGTATAATTGAAAAAGTTGACCTAAATAAGTTCTTAAATTGCTATATAAAAAAAATTATGTTTTCATAGATTAATGGATTCCTTGACAGGGAAACTATGCTTGACCCCATGGCTGTCTTCGCTCTGCTCTTTGGGAGTGAACTGTTTGAGGACTACATAGGGCATTTAGCTGTGGCATCAATGGCTTCTTCCGGGCTAGCTGATGAAACTGAGGATCCTGATAAACTGAATGAAAAGTTAAAGGCAAGAATGTTTTAATTTTTCATTTATTACTTTTACTCTGTCCATGTAATTTTGCTAAGAGAAAAAAAAAATGTTTAGGTTATGGATTTGGCCTTTGGGGTGTAATCATATTTTCACTGTTAGGTTCATTTTGATGCTAAAAAAAAATTCTAACCACACATTGCCTGCTCGTTTCAAATAGTGTAACTTTGTTTATGTGAAACGAAAATTATCATCAGTTGAGACTTTTTGTTTCGTTGATCAAAATTAAAAAATCTCAATTTTATTCACCTAGAACTAGAATGCTTAAGTGGTGAATATTAATTTCATCTGTTTTGAAGAGTAATTTATTTTCTTAGTTTGGTATGGTTGACTAGTTAAGCTATTATATTATTTAGTTGAGCTAAATCTTCTGTAGCAGTATTACTATTCTATTTGTTGTAAAAAGTGATTTCAATTCTACGACTGTGATTATTCTTTCTTTGTATTGAAATATCTGTACAATGCCCTACTTCTCATTATACTGCTTCTGCCTCTTTTGTTCAATATTTCTCTTGAGTATACACAGTTTTTTAATATCCATTTCACTTCAGAGAAGTTATAATGCAAGAGAAAAGATGACATACTAAACTGTAGATAGAATCTAGAAAGGGTGGGGGAGGGGGTAATTTTTTATTTTTCAAAATTTACCTTAAGTTTTCTGTGTTTCAATATAGGCTGTCCAAAGAGAAAGGGAAGAAAAGTTGGCAAGAATTTTGAGAGATTATCTCAGCCAATATGTCCGTGGTGACAAAAAGGGATTTTTCCAACGCGCAGAATCTGAAGCAAGACGGCTTTCTCGTGCTGGTTAGCGAACTTTGACCTGCCTTTATTTGTAATACTTTGCTAGGCACTAAACACATGGTGCCATTGATCATCGCCATTCAATGCTATCAATATTAGTTTCATTGTACAGAGTAGATGCCCCATGGAATTCCCAACACTTCTCTGATTGAAATTTTAAACGAATTGACAAACATTTTGCCACCGAATCTCAAATGGCAGTATCTGTATCGCTTAGTAAATTAGTAATAACTAAAGCATTTGGAGTTGTTTGTAGCATGATATTGTATCAATAATATAATCAATTAGTCTCCACTGTCTCTGAATGCAGCATTTGGAGTTGATATGTTGCATACCATCGGATACATATATTCAAGACAGGCAGCACAAGAACTGGGGAAGAAAGCCATTTATCTTGGAGTGCCATTTCTGACTGAATGGGTACGCAATAAAGGGCATTTCTGGAAATCACAATTCACTGCTGCTAAAGGTAAATGACATGAGAGACAATTATATTAGCATGCCCTCCCTTAAAACTCTTGCATTTTCTTTAGTTATTCGTTCCAAATGAAGTTTAATTTGATCGAGCACATGCAATTTAGGTGCGTATCAGTTGCTTCAGCTTCAAGAAGACATCCGCAAGCAATTTAAAATGGATGGTAGTAGTGCCCATGAAAATGATGTTGACTCTCACCTTCGCCTCAATAAGGATACATTGATGAATTCCTTGTGGAAGTTAAATGTAGTAGACATAGAAGTAACCCTCGTACATGTGTGTCAAATGGTGAGTTCTTAACTCGTTTTAATTATATGAAATCCTGTTTGTATTTCCGTGTAATATGATATTTGTAGTTCCATAGTTGAACTGGAAACAGGTTATTGCATTCGTTGTCGTTTTTCCAGATATCATGAATGATGTCTCTTGGTATGAAAAAATAACTGCTATTTCTACATAGTGAAATGTGGAATAGTTTGCTAGCTAGAAAGCCTGAGACAATAAAACCTAATGTAATATGAGACGAGTTGTATATAATGAATTTTAGATATGATTTCTCTTGTGACTTGTAAGAACAAGGTCTTTTTTATCGCCTACGACCAGAACAAAGGAAATAAAAGGCTAAGATATTCTTGCTCATAAATCTATTGTTGCAGGTGCTAAAGGAAAATAACGTTAAGAAAGAGGAACTAAGAGTTCGGGCTACCGCTCTTAAAATTCTTGGCAAAATATTTCAGGTGTGAATTTTCAGTTACTTTAGCATAAAGTATTCTAACTTTCAACTTTCTAGAAATATAGGCTGTGGATTTTTATTTACAATAACTTTTAGTTTAAATTACAGTTTTGTTACTGTTGTATATGACTGTTCTATTTTGGTCATGTAAGTGTTAATCGAAAGATGTTCCATGTAAAATTATAATGGGACTAAATGAAGATCTTCTGAAATAAGAGTGACTAAAATAAAAATGAATTATAATATAAGAGGAAATAAAATATAAAACTTGAGATCGAATCCAACTTCTCTTGTATTTTTGTATGTTTTTACGTGGATTTGTGTCAAGCATGGAGTAGAAGATCTATTATCCTACTAAAAATTCTCAAGGAGGTTAGTAATTAATTTTGGTCTTACATAAATTAATGCTTTGTCGTAATCTAAACTTTTTTCTAACCAAAAACAAGAGAAACGTATATTGAAAATTTACAATTTTATAGGAATTGAAACAACAATACTAAAAAATAAAAGCAAAAGGATGTTTCAGAAATCAAAACAGGATTTTTTTTTAGAGAAATCAAACATATTATTTAAGCTAATTAAGGGGTCCACTTGATTGATTGAGTAGGGAGTGTGAGTTAAACTCCTTCCATACTAACTCAAGTTCTGCTTCAGTATATTTAGATATAGTGGAAAATTGAAGTCAATTATGTACCTTGCATTTAAAACAGTGTAATTGTGTGTAAGTATCAACCTATGAAAAACAAGACATCTTTAGTCTTCATTTGCAATTTGCATCTTATAAGGCCAAATTCCTATCCCACAAGAGAGTAACACAAGCTAACATCAAGTTTGCTGACATAATGTGATGTTGCTTACTTCAGGACAAGTATCCAAATGGAGAAACATTGAAGAAGAAGATTGCTGCTGATTCAGATGATGATGGAAGCAGTTCTGATTCTTCAGATGATGAATCGCCTAGAGCAATTTCTTATCGAACTCCCTTTTTCACACAGGCATGTATAGAAATATTTTAGAACTAATCACATGCATTTGCATTGGACCTGTCTTCAAATTTTATAATATTTATACCACCACGTGTACATGATACTCTGATTACCAAAATATGTACTCATTTATGCTTCTGCAGGGTCTCGGTAGGCTCTTCAAATGCCTCTGCAATCCAGCATTTGATGTGGATGATGAAGAGATAGTTTACAAAAGCAAATGATTCGTATATACGTGTGGACTATGAAACAAAAATTCATTCCTTCCAGTATTTTGTTGGTGAGATGATATACTAAAGGACTTTTCAGATACCCTCTGAATGTAGTTTTGGGAGAAGATGACGATGCAAGCCGTGAATAACCATATTTTGTTGCTTGTTGTCATTTCCGGTCTCTTCAAGTTACATGTGGCATAACACTGTTCAAGAGTTAACATTTCTGTCAATTCCACTGTTTTCCCCCTCCTTTTGTATGTTTTAAAAATTGGAAATTTATAGTATCATCAGAACTCAGAAGTGCTTTTAGCAAACTATCAATTCCATCACGGTATAATGAATTTATTGACTCTAGCAGTAAACAATAAAATTATATAAGTGTCCAAAATGATTATAAACTAAATTATATGTACTATCAATTCCATCACAGTATATTGAATATATTGACTCTAACAGTAAACAATAATAAAATCTATATAACTCATTTGAGTGTCTAATAATGATTATATATTAACTAAATTGTGTGTGCTTGTGTGATGTTTTTAGCTTTTTAAATTTAGAGTAAATTTATTTTTATTAATTAAATTTAAAATTATTATTTTAATTACTGTAATTTTTTTTAAAAAAAAACTTATTTTAGCTCCTTAAGATTACATGTAAAATATTTGATAAATTAAATAGCTGTATAATATTAAATAGATTTTATATAATATTTTTATTAATAAAAATACTTGTAATAGTATATAGAGTTTTATGCAATAGATTTAGTAGTGATTTTTGTATTACAGAAATTGTGGATAAATTAAAATAAATTTGTAATAGTGAGTTTATCGAATTTATTTTTTTTCAAATTGCATACTTTAGTGAAAAATTAAGTGATCTCACCTTGAACTATCTCACCTATGATAAAGAACTATATACTCTTATTAGAGCCATCCAAAGATGAGAACATTACTTAGCGACTAAAGAGTTTATTATTCATATAGATCATGAGTCATTTAAGTATTTGAGAGAGTAAAGTAAGTTAAACGAAAGGCATGCTAAGTGGACTGAATATTTAGAATAACTCTCCTATGTTATCAAATATAAGAAGAAAACAAATAATGTCATAGTTGATGTTCTTTCTAAAAGACACATTATTTATTATCCTTGGATCTCAAATTCTTGGATTTGATAACATTAAAGAATTGTATAAGCATGATAAAGATTTTCAATCCACTTATGCTCAAAGCCTTAAGAAGCCTTTTGATGGATTCTGTAAAATCAAAAGATGATCTTGGATCCCTCAAGAGGATATAAGTTATAATGATAACAAACAAAAAAATTTCAGATAAAACAAGCATCATATTTCGTTCGACGAAGGACTGTCGGAATCCAAAAAATTTTGATCTTTCCCATAGATGGTTTAAACTTCTATTTAGAAAATCTCATCGATTAGGAAATGCCTGAAAACCAGACTAATCTCTAATCAATGAAAAAGAATTCTAAGGAATCGTCATCGATGTTTTACTCAAAACATCGAAAAAATAAAAGGTTTTTAAAATTGCAATAATGGCCTTTATAGATAAAATTAGGTTCGGAGGTCGGTTACGTGCAGGGAAAGTGTCGGACACTCTACAACGCCCTAATTTGGTACTCTATGAAAAATTTAGCATAATAATAAATAATAATTTAAATGTTTACTCCTTTTATTAACTATTTACAGGACGAAGATACTTATTATTTACATGGCTATTTATTTATTTATTGCATATAAGAAAAACAATGAATAAAATGATAAAAGAAAATAATAAATAAAACAATAAATAAAATAATAAATAAAGTAATAAACAAAATAATAAAATAAAATAAATAAAACAATGAATAAAAAGAGAAGAATTTAGAACCTTCGCTCAAATGCATGCGGGGCACATTTTGGCAACCCTTTAGATTGGGAACGGCCCGTTCCGATGATCAGAATGGCCATTTCGCACCCCAGATTAGGTTTTCTCTATTTTCTAGGCCTTCCGAGGCTATCTTGATCCGTTTAGGTGTTTTATTGGGCCTTAAGGGGTCGTACGTTATGCTCTTTCCAACTGTAATGCGAGATTTTTAGAGAATTTGTTAACCGTTGGATCATGCTGAGATTTTGATGATATTTTTGTAATACATTGATCTTTAACTTCAATGGTCAGATCGTCAAAATTTGGTCTATAACAAGAGATATTATCAGAACAAAAATGTTACCCAACACGTTGGGCCCTGTTTGTCTCACTCTAGTAGACCTTTGTCCTTGGTTTGGGTACCTCGGACGAAATTGGGTGTCTAAATCAAATGAAGCACACAATCTGAATCACTACTAAATTTATTTCTCATTATAAAGTCAGATTATCTTTTAAGAGCATTGAATACTTTATTCCTTAACATATCAAATAAAAAGCTTCCTTGAAGACACCGAAAACTGCTAAAAATGGAAAGTCAAATCCTTGCATCAGAAAGAAAGAAAAATCCTGGAAATCTCAGAAAAGTAGACAAGAACTCTAAACACGTCGCACTACTCTGATTTAGCCACTTCTTTTCACCTTACCTAACAAGATGATGATAAGTAGTTGCCAAGATCAGATAAGAGATGGACTTCTTCATGCAAAGCATTAAATGCTTGCAATAACGGTTAATTTACTCTCTCTTTGTGATCTCGAAGAGAAGACAAACAAAGCATCTTGAGAAGATTTCTCAACGATCATTTTCTTCCAAACTACTATATTAGGGGTTCTCTATCAAGATATAAGAAAATGACATAGATATACAACATAAGAGAGCAAGGGAAATTACAAAAAAGAAACGAAATGCATACCTTGTAGATAAATTATGTCTTGTATAGTTTATTTATGCTTAAATTGCATAGCGTCACGTCTGGAAAAGATGAAGCTATCTTTGTAACTCTCTTCAAATTTCTATTTGTAAGGGTTAAGCTAGGAGAGGCTTGTTGAAAGAATACTTAGTGTTTGAGCCTGAAAAGGCTTGGTTGAAAAGAATATTTGGTGATTGAGCTTGGAGAGGCTTGTTGAAAGAATACTTAAGTAGTTGCTAGAAAAGGCAAGTCAAAGACTACTTAGGTTTGAGTCAGGAATGGCTTGTTTAAAGAATACTTGAATCTTTTGAAAGATAGTGGAACTCAATCTGACTGGATTGAGAATTGGACGTTGTCTCTGTATTTGAGACGAACTAGTATAAAAGATTTGTGCTCTTTCATTTGTTGCATTCCAACACTTTGTCTGTCAAAGCTTTTACTACTTTAGTTCATTTCAAAAAGTGCGAGTTTTTGATATACACTATTAAACCCCCTTGTAATGTATATTTTTTCTCCAACAAGTTCTATGTTTTGAAGGGGAACCTTTTTAAAATGGGAAAACTTAGCATACCCCAAGGATCCATAAGAAAGTTTCTTGTAAAAAAAATTCATGAGAGGGGTTTCATGGATTTTGGAGTTGATAAAACTCTAACTTTTCTAAAATATAGATTTTATTGGCCACACATGAAAATAGATGTCCAAAGGTTTTTTTCTAGATGTATAGCTTGTTTACAAGCAAAGTCTAAAATAATGCCCCATATACTCTACACACCTCTTCATATAGGTAGTACCCATTGGGTTGACATTAGTATGGATTTTTTGCTTGGTCTCCCAAGAACCCAAAGAGATTATGATTCTATCTTTGTGGTAGTACGTGGACCGATTTAGCAAGATGATTCATTTTATACCATGCCACAAAATAGATGATGCTAGACATAACTCAAGACTTTTCTTTAAGGAAGTTGTTAAATTGCATGGCATACCCAAAATAATAGTGTTAAACAGGGATGTTATGTTCCTAAGTTATTTATAGAGATTTTTTTGGGAAAGACTTGGAACTAAACTTTTTTTGTATACTACTTGTGACCCACAGACTAATGACAAACAGAAGAAGTGAATAGATCTTTTTTCACTCTGTAGAGGATAATCATTAAAAATAATAAAATGTCTTGGGATGAACATCTGCCTTGCATAGAGTTTTCTTATAACATGTTAGTTCACAAGACAATTAATCTTTCTCCTTTTGAGGTTGTTTATGAATTTAACTCTCTTACTCCTCTTTATATACTTCCAATACTACTTCCTTATTGCATAAATAAGGAGTATTTAGCGTTGATTTTGTTAAAAAAATATCATGAGAAGGTTAAAACCCAAATTGAAAAATAAACTCAAAGATATGTTGATTACAACAGCAAAAGGAGAAAGAAACTTATCTTTGAGGAAGGGGAATGAGTTTGGCTTCACTTGAGAAAGGAAAGGTTTCCTTCTCAAAGGAAGTCCAAGCTAAATCCAAGAGGAGATGGTCAATTCCAAGTCCTCTAAAAAATAAATAATCATGCATATAGGCTAGATTTACCCTTTGAGTATGGTGTTAGCACTACATTTAATATTTGTGATCTTTAGCCTTTTGTAGGAGTAGCTAACACTGATGATGAAGGACTATATTTGAGGCTAGATTCTTCTCAAGAAGGAGAGGATGATGGAGGACCATTCTTGAAAATCATAGGACCTTTGACAAGGTCTATAGTTAGGAGGCTAGAGGAAGCTATTAGAGAGGATGATGTGCTTCATGAGCATAAAGTATGTGTTCTCCTAATTGCTTAGTCTTCTATTGTATATATTGTATAGTTTATTTTTTGACCTTGTATTTTAGGTCAAGTAGTATGGAAATTTTTGTCCTTGTATAATTTTTCTTTAAGGGTGTAATTAATACTTTAGGGGAGGTGTAACTGACTAATGCCATAGACTTATTTGGGTTTGGATGACCCAAACTTTTTCATGGTCCATAGTTTGGGCATCCACTTGCTTATGCAAGTGGTTTGGATGTCCAAACCTAGCCAATTTAGTCATCCAAGTTGTTAAATAAGTCACATGGCTTTGATGGTGATATCTTAACAAACTTGTTAAAAGTAATCATTAGTTTGTTAGTTGTAATGATTAGGTTAGGTAGTTGGAGTTAGCTTAAGCTAACCTAGGTTATTTCTAAACTAGGATTAATTAACTTACTCCATAAGCTTCTAAATACTTAACTAGGGTTGGCTAGTTTAAGTACAAGATAGTTAACCATGGTTACACTTGACCATGGTTAGTCTAACTTGCGCCATATGCCAACCAAATCCTATATATGGTTTTTTCCTTGTAATGGCTAAATAGTTTTGAGCATATTATTGAATTGGATGAACTTTTCTCTAATTCTCTCACTCAAAGCTTGTTTCTCTCCTTGAAATTTCTTCCTTTTCTCTTATCCTCTCTTGAGTGTGGTGAGATTTTGAAGGGACTCATCACTCTTCAAGAGTGTGGGGTCACC